ATGCCAGGGGCTTAAGTGGAGAGGAAATGTTTTGAGAATGATGAGGGCAATGAATGTACAAATGTGCTTTACACAATTGATGTATGTATGGACTGTGATAAGAGTTGTATGAGCCCCTAATAAAATGATTAAAAAAAAAAAAGGTGACATTGCTAAGATACTCTATCTTGTTCTGTAATCTCATTTTAAAAACATGGTGTTTTTGTAAAATGTGGTCCCAGCAGGAGGACAATTCATGAACTTCCCATCAAAAGACAATTCTTTATACGAAAGTGCTAAAAACAGGACTTCTTTTTGCATTCTTATAAATACGAGCTCACCTGTTGCTTACAATTTTAAAAATTTTGTATTTTCCAAATGTGCATATTGTACACTTTTTGGGGATATGCTTAGTAATGCTACATGTGATTTTTCTGGAGGTTGATAACTTTGCTTGCAGATTTTCTTTAAAAGAATGGGCAGTTACATGCATACTTCAAAAGTATTTTCCTGTACAAAAAAAAGTTGTATAGGTTTTGTTTGCTATCTTAATTTTGGTTGTATTCTTTGATGTTAACACATTTTGTATAATTGTATCATATTGCTGTATTGAATCATGTAGTGTCAAATATTAGATGTGATTTAATAGTATTAATCAATTTAAACCCCCCCCCCAAAAAAAGAGAGTGCACTCAATGGTCATGAAGTGACATTTGAAATGGCCACACACTGCTTCACAGTTTATCCATAAGGCCACATGGGCATAGAAGTCAAAAGTCTTTAAAAAGTTCAAGTATTCTGACCCTATAATTCTAGATTCCATTCTGAAAAAATAAGAGTTGCCCTGTAAAGATGTATCGAAGAAGGTATTCATAAGGACTTCAATTTGTGATACTAGAAAGTAGAAACAAGCCTACGAGTGTCATCGTTGGACCCTGAGTGGCACTCACAGACAGTGCAGTGAATTGTTTCATATGGCTCTTTAGTCATAGCCTTTGTGACTCCCACCAAGCGGCCTTCGTTTTCCTGATGAAGATTAGGGGAGCAGGTGGTGGGGTGGGAAGATACTGACTGGGTTACACTATTCAACTGTGAGTGGTTGATAACAGGGTTCCCTGTGATTGTCATCCTGCTGGGTATAAAATGAACCCTCATAGAAACAAGAAGAGGTGATCTCACTTCCAGGAGGGCAACCGGTTTTGTGGATCCTGAGAAGTCTGTGCATTAAACTTCCATGACCCAGGAGCTAGTTTTGACAGTGGCAACAAGCGTTAGAGCATGAAACAGAACAGTGGATTTCCCAGCCCACAGAACAAATACAACTGAGCGCCTTTGGGTAGGAGGCAGCTTGGGGAGTAGTGTGTTCCAGGCACTTATTTGGGGGAGCTGGGTTTGCTGACCCATGGAGGTAGAGCTGAGCGCCTTTGAGTTAAGGTTTATAATAGAATTGCATGCCCTTTGAGCATTTATTGGGAGCCTGAAAAGTACTTTGTAACATTGCTTGAGCAGAGCAGGGGCCAGGCCAAGAGGCCCAGGGACTCCTAGAGGCTTGCTTGTCGGCATAGCAGAGAAGAAACTGTCTTTACTAAACAGCAGAGAAGAAACTGTCTTTACTAAACAACTGTATTTTGAGCATTTCTCATCTAAATTGTAACCTGTTAACTTCTCTAATAAAATCCATAATTGTGAGTTCTGTGGGGCCATTGCAATGAATGATCGGCCTCAGCCCCCAAAGTTGAGATGTGTGGTGTCAGCACAGGCTAAAAAGGGGTAGAAGGTGGAGGAAGCATGTCTGACCTCTGCCTGTGGCAATCGGCCTTGGGAGCCAAACAAGGTCAGAAGTGGACCCCATGCTACTTCCTGGATCATATATGCTAGAATGTTTTATAGTAATTTAAACTGCCTTTAAATAATTTTAATAAAGTTGGAAAATTGTTAGAACATATCATGCAGCAAATATATTAAAGTAATGGCAATAGTGATCTCTGGATGATATATTTAAGAGATAATTATTATTATGAAAAATATTTTTTCCTTCATTTCTCAGATCATCTACTTTGCACATGTTAATTTTCAAATTAGAGAGTAGGGAGTGTAAGTCCTGTAGAGAGTTGGAGATCAAAACCTGAAAAATAAAGGAGTTTTCATTTTTTTCCCCTGATGGTGTTTTATTTCCATTATTAACTAAATCAATCCCATCTATTATTTCTTTCTTGAGGGTTAGCCACTAGCAAGGAATCTTTTGCTTGTAAACTGGTTTTAAAGAGTTAGATCCATTCTGATTCAGACCAAAATCTCAAGCTCTGGGACCAGGCAGACCTGGGTATGGATCCCAGTTCTCATAGTCAGCGACTTGGGTTTCTCACTGGCTGGTTTTCAGAAGTAGATCAAAAGGCTGTTCTTCCTGGTCTCTCTGAGCCTAGAAACTCCACTGAACCCTGTCCAGGTTCAAACATGCAAATTTCCTCTGACACATGGGTGGTAGCTGCATACAAGGTGTATATCTGGCGATGGAAATCAATTCTCTCTCATGGTGAGAATTCTGACAGTGAACTACCAAGATCCTTTATCTTATATCTAACCCCCAACCCAACTGCCAAAAATGCCAAACCAAACAAAAAAAATCCCCTAAAACCCATATCTGTCAAGTTCATTTCATCTCACAGTGACCTTATAGAACAGAAGAGAACTGTCCCCGTACAGTTCCCAAACTGAGAATCTTTATGAAAGCAGATAGTCGCATCTTCCTGCCGTGAAGCAGCAAGTGGGATTCACCCCGACTTTTGGTTAGCAGCTGGGCACCTTAGCCACTGCACTGTCAGCGTCCCTGTCCTATCAAAGGGCCTATTAGGGTGTAAGTGTCTTTAAAAAAAAAACCTCACATTATATTTCTCATAAATTCTAGAAACAGACATCATGATAATGGAAAGCTACAAGGGCACTGGATTCCTTGTACGTGGCTATGATTTAAAATCTGACCGCTGTTCAGAATCAACATAGGAGTACATGGAGCCATGGGACCAGGAATCCAAAGGGAGTCCGAGGCCCTCTGTTCTAAATCCTTCACTGTCATTGCATACATGTGAAATAAGCACAGTTTACGGCATCCTGTGGGTAAGAAATCCTTGCCCTGTTCTTTTCCACTCTCATCACACTGCCAGTTAACACTTACTTTGCCAGTACTTTTATTTCTTGATCAAACTGCTGTTTCAGTTCTTCAGTACTAATGTCAACCATCTGAAAAAATAAGGTGAAATACGGTATCATCCCATACAATAATCCTGGTCTCCTAAAACTGGAAGATGGATACACAGCAGACAGGCAACTTTTGAGGAATCCACTAAGTAACGCTGAAGAACCCTGTAGACAATTTTCATTCCATTTTTACAAAATATTTGGACTCCCCCCTCCCCGTTTAGAAAAAATAACTTTCCTTACATTACCCTTCTCAGTTTCAGATGTAGAAGCGCCACAGGAAGAGAAAGAGAATGTTCTCGTTGTGTGCTTTTGTCTCCATTAGGCCGCTCAGAACTTACAGCTCTGCTATACCCCACATCTGTGTAAGGCGGGGGTGGGGTGGGGTGGTCCAGGTGGCACCACGGGTACTGCTCAGCTGCTCCCCAGGAAGGTGGCAAATTGAATCTGCCCGGCTGCTCTGCAGGAGAAAGGACCTGGTGATGAGCTCCCTAAGAGATTACAGCCCGGGGAACCGTCTGAGGCAGTTCTGGAGACACAGGCTGACCTTTTTCTTTATAACAGAAAGGCATTGTTCTTTACTTTTTACAGAACTGAGCTCTAGGAAGAGTAGTGATTTGCCATTGATCCCACATCTGTTTAGTGGGAGGAAAGAACCGTGCGAACAAATGAACTCATAGAGGAGAAGTCACTGCGTTAACACTGGGGGAGGGGAATCTATCACAGACCACAAGCACACTTGAAAGAGGTGACTGTCCTATGAATATTCATTATCCCAGAGGGCATCAAAATGTGTGTAAAAATGAATGGAAACGTTGACAGGATATTCTCTTTAATTCACTGACATCTTCTAATATTGATATTTTTAGAATATCAACATTTAGGCAGAATAGATCTCCCCTGTACAGTGTTCAAAACAAGAACTTTTACAGACCTAGTTAGCCTGTAAGACAGAACAGAACTGCCTCAGATGGTTCCCCAGGCTGTAATCTCTTGGGAAGCTAATCACCTGGTCTTTTCGCCAGGGGAGCAGTGGGGTTCAGATTGCCAACTTCCTGGTGAGCAGTTAGTACATACCCCATTGTGCCACCAGGACCCCCTCCTGACACAGATGCAGGGTATAACAAAGCTGTAAATCCGGAACAGCTTAATAGCAACAAAAAAAAGAACACAAAGGAGAACATTCTTTTTCTCTTAATGTATAGTTTCTACATTTTAAACTGAGAAGGATAATGTAATGAAGATTATTTTTTTCTAAATATGGAAGGGGGGAGAGATTTAAAAAGTTTTGTAAAAATGAAATGAAAATAAAATGAACATTTTCTACAACCTTTTTGAAGTCCCCCCACATGTGACCACCTTAATCTCAACTAGGTATGAAACAAGGTGTAGACCAGGGTTCTTCAACTTTCCCTAGTGGATTCTTCAAAAGTTTCCTGCCTACCCCCCCCC